GCTGCAAAGAGAATAAAATACCTTGGAATACAACTTACAAGGGATATAAAAGACCACTTCAAGGAGAACTACAAACTACTGCTTAAGGAAATAAGAGAGGACACAAACAAATGGAAAAACATTCCATGCTCATGGATAGGAAGAATCAGTATCATAAAAATGGCCATCCTGCCCAAAAGTAATTTACAGATTCAATGCTATTCCCACCAAGTTACCATCGACTTTCTTCACAGAATTAGAAAAAAACTACTTTAAATTTCATATGGAACCAAAAAAGAGCTTGTTTAGCCAAGGCTTTCCTAAGCAAAAGAACAATGCTGGAGGCATCACACTACCTGACTTAAAACTATTCTACAAGGCTACAGTTACCAAAACAGCATGGTACTGTTACCAAAACAGATGTATAGACCAATGGAACAGATCAGAGCCTTCAGAAATAACACCGCACATCTACAATCATCTGATCTTTGGGGAAAGGATTTCCCATTTAATGAATAGTGTTGGGGAAACTGGCTAGCCATAGGCAGAAAACTGAAACTGGACCCCTTCCTTACACCTTATACAAAAATTAACTCAAGATGGATTAAAGACTTCAACATAAGATCTAAAACCTTAAAAACCTAGAAGAAAACCTAGGCAATACCATTCAGGACATAAATATGGGCAAAGACTTCATGACTAAAACACCAAAAGCAATGGCAACAAAGGCCAAAATTGACAGATAGGATTTAATTAAACTAAAGAGCTTCTGCACAGCAAAAGAAACTATCATCAGAGTGAATAGGTAACCCCAAGAATGGGAGAAAATTTTTGCAATCTATCCATCTGACAAAAAACTAATATCCAGAATCTGTAAGAAACCTAAACAAATTTATAAGATAAAACCAAAGAACTCCCTCAAAAAGTGGGCAAAGGATATGTACAGACACTTCTTAAAAGAAGACATTTATGTGGCCAAAAAACATATGAAAAAAATCTCATCATCACTGATCTTTAGAGAAATGCAAACCAAAACCACAATGAGATACCAACTCATGCCAGTTAGAATGGCGATGATTAAAAAGTTAGGAAACAACAGACGCTAGAGAGGATGTGGAGAAATAGGAATGCTTTTATACTGTTGGTGGGAATGTAAATTAGTTCAACAATTGTGGAAGACTGTGTGGAAATTCCCCAATGATCTAGAACCAGAAATACGATTTGATGCAGGAATCCCATTACTGGGTATATACCCAAAGGATTATAAATCATTCTATTATAAAGAAACATGTACACATATGTTTATTGCAGCACTATTTACAATAGCAAAGACTTGGAACCAACCCAAATGCCCATCAATGATAGACTGGATAAAGAAAATGTGGCACATATATGCCATGGAATACTGTGTAGCCATAAAAAAGAATGAGTTCATGTTCTTTTCAGGGACATGGATGAAGCTGGAAACCATCATTCTCAGCAAACTAACACAGGAAAAGAAAACCAAACACTGTATGCTCTCACTCATAAGTAAGAGTTGAACAATGAGAATACCTAGACACAGGAAGAAGAACATCACACACAGGTGCCTGTCAGGGGTTGGGAAAAGGGAAGGGGTAGCATTAGGAGAAATGCCTAATACATGCAGGCTTAAAACCTAGATTATGGATTGATGGGTGCAGCAAACCAGCATGGCACGTGTCTACCTATGTAACAAATCTGCATGTTCTGCACATGTACCACAGAACTTAAAGTATAATAGAAAAATAAATAAGTAAATTTCATGAAAAAAAGAAAATCAACTCATGCAATACATCATACAAACAGGCTAAAGAGAAAACATCACATGATTATATCAACAAATATACAGGAAACATTTGATAAATCCAACATTCATGCACAATAAAAGCTCTCAGCAAACTAGGAATAGAGGAGAACATCTTCACTTAATAATGAATATCTACAGAAAAACAATAGTTCATATGATACTAAATTGTGGATACTAGAAACTTTCCTTCTACGGTAAGGAAGAAGGAAAAGATGTTTTCTCTCATCCTTCATTACACATTGTTGGTGGGAATGTAAATTAGTACAGCCATTATGGAAAACAGTATAGAGGTTCCTCAAAATATTAAAAATATAATACTATATAATCTAGCAACCCCACTGCTGGGTATATGTCCAAAAGAAATTAAATCAGACTATCAAAAAGATATCTGCATTCCCATGTTTACTGTAGCAATATTCATAATTACCAATATGTGAGATTAACTTAAATATCCATCAACTAAAGAAAATGTACTCTATATGCACAATGAAATACTATCAGTCATAAAAAAGGAGAAATTCCTGTCATTGTGACAACATGGGTAAACCTGGATGACTCTATATTAAATGAAATAAGTCTGACACAGAAAAATAAATATTTCATGGTCTCACTCATAAGTGGCATCTTAAAAAGTGGATTTCATAGAAGTAAAAAGCAGAATGAGCTCACTAAAAATAAGAGGCCTAATTCTAGGACTATAGAATGTATATCTCTTCCCCCTCCACACACATACCTTGCAATCACATCAATTGCACCCTAAATAATAACAATGGCTTAAAAGCAAAAGAACTATAAGCCTCAGACCTTACTTAAGAAGTCTTTGGGAATATTTAAAGATAATAAGGGAGACAAAAGCAAAAACATCAGAGAAAATTTTAGCCTCTGACACCTACAGCTACAACATAAGTTAAATATGCCAAAGACCTATCTACATTAGATCCTTTACCCATCATGTTCAGCTTTTAATCAATATTACAAAGCATACTAAAAGGCAAAACGTACAATTTGAAAATACAAAAAGCATCAGACCAGACCCAGACAAGGCAGAAATTTTGGAAATATCAGACTGGGAATTTAAAATAACTCTGATTACTGTACTAAGTGCTCTAATGGTGTTGACTACATGCACGCACAGACGGGTAATGTAAGTAAAGTGATAGAAACTGTAAGACAGATTTTTTTTAACTGACAGAAATTTAAAACATTAACAGACATAAAAAATGCTTTTGATGGGCTTATCAGTAGATTGAATGCAGTCAAGGAAAGTACCAGGGACTTAAGAATATGTCATAGAAACCTCTCAAATGATAAGGCAAAAAGCAAAAAGAACCTTTAAAGAATGGAATACAATATACAAGAACTGTAGAATGAGCACAAAGAGTATAACATATGTATTATGAGAATGCCACAAAGAGAAGGAAAAAAAGAATGAGAAATACTTAAGTAATAATGACTAATAATTTGCCCCCAAAAATGTTAGGCACCAAATCACAAATCCAGGAAGTGCAGAGAATGTCAAAGAGGATAAATACTAAGCTACAGCTAGATATAACATATTCAAAGTGTAGAAAATTAAAGACAGAAAATTTTGAAATAAACCAAAGAAAAAATCCTTTACCTATAGAGGAGCAAGAATAGGAATTACACTAGACTTCAGAAGAAAGCATTACCCACCTGGATGTTGTCTAAGAGAAACTCTTTTAGACCTAAAGACACATACAGATTGAAAGTGAAGATGAAAAAGATATGCAAATAGTTTACAAGAGACAGCTAGAGTGGCAATAGTAGTATCAGGCAAAGCAGACCTTAAGTTAAAAAGTGTAATTAGGACGGGTGCGGTGGCTCACACCTGTAATCCCAGCACATTGGGAGGCTGAGGCGGGTGGATCACGAGGTCAGCAGTTTGAGACCACCCTGGCCAACGTGGTGAAATCCTATGCCTATTAAAAATACAAAAATTAGCTGGGCATGGTGGCAGTTGCCTGTAATCCCAGCTACTTGGGTGGCTGAGGCAAGAGAATTGCTTGAACCTGGGAGGCGGAGATTTCAGTGAGCTGAGATTGCACCCCTGCTCTCTAGCCTGAGTGACAGAGCAAGATTCCATCTCAAAAANAAAAAAAAAAAAAAAAAAAAAAAAAAAAAAAAAAAAAAAAAAAAAAAAAAAAAAAAACAGTTACTAATAAAATGATCAATTCATCAAGAAGATATAACAATTTAAAACATAGATGCAGCCAACATTAGACATCCAAAATATGTGAAGCAAATATTGACAGAAATAAAGATGGTGCTACAATAATTATTGAAGACTTCAATACTTCACTTTAAATAATGGATAGAACAATTGGATAGAATATCAATACATAATAGAAGACTTGAACAACATAGTAAACTAATTGACCCCTGTGTATTTATGGCATGCATACATAGAGCACTTCATCCACTAGCAACAGAATAGAAAATTTCTCAAATGCACATGGAACATTCTCCAAATGAATTACATATTAGGCCATAAAACAAATATTAATAAAAATTTAAATGCCATAGATATGGTTTGGATCTCTGTCCCTACCCAAGTCTCATTGAATTGTAATTCCCAATGTTGGAGGTGGGGCCTGGAGAGAGGTGATTGGCTCATCAGGGCAGTTTTTCATGAATGGTTTAGCACTATCCCCCTAGTGTTGTTCTTGTGATAGAGTTCTTATAAGATCTGATTGTTTAAAAATGTGGAACACCTCCCCACTCTGGCTCTTGCTCCTGCTCTGGTTCCTGTTTCCCCTTCACCTTGCATCATGTTCAGGTCTCCTAAGGCCGCCCCAGAAACAGAAGTCATTATGCTAACTGTACAGCCTGCAGAATCATGAGGCAATTAAATCTCTTTTCTTTATAAATAAGCTAGTCTCAGGTATTTCTTTATAGCAATGTGAGAATAGACTAATATAGCCATATAAATAATATTTTCTGATCACAATAATATGCAACTAGAAGTCAATAAAGGAAAATTGAAAATAGCACAAATAAATGGAAATTAAATACACACTCTTAAGTGAACAGTTCCCAAAGAAATTTTTTTTCCTCGTCTGTAATGAGTGTCTTTATTGCTTGTACCGTACAAATATGAAGACGAGGAGAAAAGCCAGTAGGGACAGATGAGAACTGTCAAATACACGACATCGCGCACAGAGAAAAAAAGACCCTGCTTGCTGGGCTGCCTAAGAAGGACCCCAAGCAGAGGCTTGGTGGGGGGCCCAGCAATGCCCAGGAGGTCATGGAGCACAGGTTATTCCTCAGCATCAACTGGCAGGACATGGTCCAGAAGAAGCTCCTGCCACCCTTCAAACCTCAGGTCACGTCCGAGGTCGACAGACTGTATTTTGATGATAAATTCACCGCCCAGTCCATCACATCCCCCGACCGCTATGACAGCGTGGGCTCACTGGAGCTGGAACAGCGGACACACTTCCCCCAATTCTCCTACTAGGCCAGCAACCGGGAGGGAGCAGTCCGCCCACGCACAGATGCACCCACGCTGCCATCACCGCCGGGTGGCTTTTTTCCCCCTAACTTTATACTTTGCCTTTTTGGTTAGTGTCCCCACCTCCCACCTTCTCACCTGTTTTCCAGTTCTTCAGGTGCTCCCGAGACGCTCCCCAACTGCCCCTGCAGCCGCTGCTTTCCCTGCTTCCAGCCTCACGTTTGTGCCTGTACTCGAATTGGGGAGACTCCATCTCCCACCCAGGCCTGGGCTGTTGGGCGCTGGAGATATTCAGTTTTACTCTACACAAGCCCCAGTGAGGGGTGAAGCATGGCACCTGGGGCCTGCTTGGGTTTCTGGCCCGGGTGCCGCCCCAGTGGCGGCCTCCGCGCTGCTGTTTCCGGAGGAAGCCCGCCTTCCGGTGGGACGCCTCACCCGGCAGACAGTGGTGCTGCCTTCCAGGCCCGAGGCGTAGGCTCGAAACGGCCAGGTGCGGGGCGGTCCAACCCTACACCCGCTATCCTCCCATGGGGGCAGAAAAGCAATAATATCCAGGGACAGGCAGGAGCCCTGGGGAGCTGCAGGGTGGGGGGTTAGGGCCGCTCCCTGGTGAATAGAGCCAGGTCCTAGGTTCTGCTCCATGGGGAACCAGGAAGGGCCGGCTGGGTGCTGCCTCCTGGCCTTGCTTCCTCCCCACCAAGCTGCCATCGTCACCCTGTGGATAAGGCAGGAGGAACATTTGGGGGCAAACCTCCCTGCCCCCAGCCCCGTGCCTTACCAGGGCTTCCTTCCAGCTGGCCTTTCCTCCTGCTGGACCCTGGGCCTGGACTGGCCCGGGCTGGCCCCACCCCATTGGGGGCTAGGTTTGCCCCCTTCTCTGTGGGGGCGGAGGGACAGCAGGCGGCTGTTCAGTCTTACACCAGACAGTATTGGGCCCCATGGACTTGGCCAGGGAGGGGTGAGGGTGGGCGTCTCTGGTACCTATTGGGGTGGAGGGGCCTCTGAGAAGAGTGGCTCCTAGACCCTCTCTTCCCTCCTCCTCCCCAGGGCCCCACGTTCTTCAGCCTTAAGGTTGAACGTGAGTGCACGTCCATGTCAGTGCTGTGGGACCCCTGTGCGTGCCTCAGACTGCGTGTGTCGACGTGACTCAGGCACACGTGGGTGTGTGTGTATGTGTGTTGGTGTGTGTGAGGGCAGCGTGTCCTCCAGCGTGCATGGTGTGTGGGCTTGGGACCCATCTCTGGCCCAAGCATGTCATCCTGTGGGGGAAGGGTGCCGACCTAGTGGGAGGAGCCCCGCCACCGGGATCCAGGCGCTGCCACGCCCACGCCTCCCCTCCCCTCGGCAACACCTCTGGGTATTTGGAGTCGAGCTTTTGTGGGTTTGATCTCCCTACCCGACCTCCAGTACTATGCAGTTCCTGACAGGTGGGGTTTTGTTGTTGTTGTTTTTTGGCTGTGGGCAAATCTCTTTTTAATTGCAAAAGACTTCATTTATAGCACATTCAATAATGAACCAACAGGAGAGTTGCTGATATTGGCACATATAAATATAAAAAATCCCTTGCAATTCAGGTAGCCAAGATAATAAGGACATACAAGGAAAACAACCTTCACTTTTCTGAAAACGTTTACATTTTAAAAAGTCACTAGTCATACTTGGAAGTTCAAAGCAGTAGAATGTACCTTGCAGGGAAAGAAGAAGGAAAACCCTTTTCCATATTTTCAGGCAAATGTGTATCAAATATATCCCAGTTCCGCTTGTTAAAGTCAGCTGGATGACTTCCTTGAACCAGGCGGGGGCAGAATACTTAGTAAAAGCGGGCCCTGGGAAGGGATGTGAATCCAGGAGAGGAGCACCAGATCCCATGCAGTGCCAAACACATTGGTCCCACCCTCTAACACAGAGGAGGCACGTCACCCCATGTCACTGGACCCAGATGCATGAGAACAGTCATCCGATGGTTACTGCTCCCACAGCCCAGCGCTTTCTAATGGTCTTAATTTAGGCCATATGAAATGGTGCTCAACATCATTGATTATCAGAGAAATCCAAATCAAAACTACAATGAGATATCATCTCATCTCAGTTAAAATGGCTCATATCCAAAAGGTAGGCAGTAAGAAATCCTGGTAAGGATTTGGAGAAAAGGGAGCCCTCATACACTGTTGGTAGGAACGTAAATTAGTACAACTACTATGGAGAACAGTGTGAAGGTTTGTCAAAAAATAAAAAAATAGAGCTACCATATGATCCAGCAATCCCAAAGCTGGGTATATACTCAAAAGAAAGGAAATCAGTATATTGAGGAGATATCTGCACTCCCACGTTTGTTGCAGCACTATTCTCAATAGCTAAGACTTGGAAGCAACCTGAATCTCCATCAGTAGATGAATGGATAAAGAAAATGTGTTGTGTATATATACATATAAATGTGATATATATATACCACATTTATATATATATCACATATATATATGCACACACACACTACATTTTCTTTATCTATTCATCTACTGTATCTGGAGTACTATTCAGCCATAAAAATGAATGAGATCCTGTCATTTGCAACAATGTGGATAAAACTGGAGATTCTTATATTAAGTGAAGTAAGCCAGACACAAAAAGACAAACATTGCATGTTCTCATTTGTGGATCTAAAAATCAAAACAATTGAGCTCATGGAGATAGACAGTAGAAGGATGGTTACCAGAAGCTAGGAAGAGTAGTGGGGGGCTAGGGGTAGTTGGGGATGGCTAATAAGTACAATAAATTGAGAATGAATAAGACCTACTATTTGATAGCACTATAGGGTAACTATAGTCAATAATATCTTAATTGTACATTTTAAAATATTCAAAAGAGTGTAATTGTATTATTTGTAACACAAAGGATAAATCCTTGAGGGGATGGATACCCCATACTCTGTGATATAATTATTTCACATTGCATGTCTGTACCAAACATCTCATGTACCCCATAAATATATATATCTGCCATGCACCCACAAAAATTAAAATTAAAAAATGAATAATTGATGCAGAAATCTTCAATCAAATATTAGCAAATCATATTGTGCTACATGTTAAAAGGTCATATACCATGACCAAGTAGGATTTATTCTTGGAATGCAACGATGGTTCAGCATCTTAAAAATAAATGTACTATACCATATGAATAGAATGATGGAGAAAAGCTCATATGCTCTTTGCAAGTGATGCAGAAAATAAATGTACTATATTTACATTTAAATATAGTACATTTATTAATAAATATAGTACATTTATTTATTAAATATTTATAGTACATTTATTTATTAAAAATAAATGTACTATACCACATAAATAGAACGATGGAGAAAAGCTCATATGCTCTTTGCAAGTGATGCAGAAAAGGTCTTTCAACTTTCCCTGTTTGATATGATGTTAGCTGTAGATTTGTCATAAATGACCTTTATTATTTTATGTTCTTTCTGTATCTATTTTTTAAGTTTTTATCATAAAGTGATGTTAAATTTCATCAAATGCTATTTCTGCCTCTATTGATATGATCATATGATTTTTGTCATTTATTCTGTTGATGTGACATACCACATTTACTGATGTGTATATGTTGAACCATCTTTACATCCCTGGGATAAATCCCACTTGATTATGGTGTATGATCTTTTTTACTGCTGTTGAATTCAATTTGCCAGTACTCTGTTGAGGATTTTTGCATCTATGTTCATTGGAGATATTGGCCTTTAGTTTATTATTGCTGTGTCCTTTTCCGGTTTTGGTATCAGAGAAATGCTGGCCTCATAGAAGAAGTTTGGAAGAACCATCTCCTCTCTGTTTTCTGCAAGAGTTTGAGAAGAATTAGTTTTAGTTATTCTTTAAAACTGTGGTAGAATTCAGCAAAGAAACCATTTAGTTCTGTATTTTTCTTTGATGGGAGACTTTTTTTTTATTATTACTGATTCAGTCTCATTATTTGTTATTTGATCTGTTAAGGTTATCTAGTACTTCTTGATTTAATCTATGTAGGCTATCTGTGTTCAGAAATTTATTTATTTTTTCCAGGTTTTCCAATTTGTTGGTGTATAGTTGTTCATAATAGTGTCTAATGACCATTTGTGTTTCTATAGTATCAGTTATAATGTCTTCTGTATTGTTTCTAATTTTATTTATTTGAGCCTTCTCTCCTTTTTATTAGTTAGTCTACCTAACTTTTAGTGTACTTGTCCAACTTTCAAACCCAGGGAGTGCTTCTCTCATAAATGAGTTTGGAAGTACTTACTCTACTTCAAATTTTTGGAAGAGTTTGAAAAGGATTTTTCAAATCTTTGGTTCTGTTTATTCACCACATAAACAGAACAAAAGACAAAAATCACGTGATTATCTCAATTGATGCAGAGAAGGCCTTTGACAAAATTCAACAGCCCTTTATGCTAAAAACCCTCAATAAACTAGGTATTGATAGAA